GCAAAATAAATTTAATACAATTCGTCTCGTAGAAAAGGGAGAAAATATATATAAAATCGTTTTTAGATAACACGCTTGAGTGTAACGCACCAGATCAATAAAATAATCTGAGATTTTATAAAAAAAAGTAGGAGCTATAAAACGTAAATAACTGTAAAACATGACTCCGTTAAAAAAAGCAAAATACGTTGTCCTTAAAAACCTACACACGCAAAGAATAGATAAATAAATATTTAATGATAAGATTAGTTTTTATTCCTGCAGAACTTAATATATAAATAAATAAAAAGTTTTTATAATATCGTATAACAAGAATAGTGATTATACTTTTGAACATTTTGTTAAAAATTTCAAAAAAATAATTCAAAATTGTAACTGATGTATTCACACACACAACTATGAAAAGTACAGGGAAATTCTTATTCTTGTCACGAAAAAACACTTCATTGTAAAACCATTACATTTATTGTTATACTAAGAATCTAAAAATATAATCAGACATTATTACTATTTTTATTATGATTCAAATATTCATAAACCAAGAGAATATTATTTTATATCATTATACATTTTATAATAAATATAATAACAATCATAAAAAAAAAATAGTACTCTTGTAATTTTATTTTTCCGAATCTTAGTTATAAATATATGGTTATTAACTTAAAACTCATTTCTAAGCATTTTATTATTATAGAAAAAAATAATAAAAATCTATTATAAAACGCGCTAGTTTGTTTCGTTTGCTAATAATGCATTCCAGGATATATTAAAAAATTTTAATTCTAAATTAAGTTTTATTTTTTATTTATATTTGTCAAACACGTTTTATACCATTTAAATGTTAATTGGTAAAATCAGCTAACATTTATACATAGGCTCGACAAGCTACAATGGCGGGTATTTATACGACGTTCTCCTGGGTCAAGGTCTATCTATCATCTATCATTATTTTAGCGGCGAAATAATTCGTTTTGAAAATATTTCTCAATTATATTATTTCATGCTTACCACAAAACTAAATCATTCATCTGATTAAATAACAATTATATTAAGTTGGTGCATTACCTACTATTATGATATATATTATTTATTGAGTCACTGGAGGCGCACTCAATAATGATAATATATTATATATTAATCATTATACACATATACGTATTGGATACTTAATTATAATTTTTATTTTCCCTGTTTAAATCTATATATTATATTATAATAATGATTTATTACACTGATGCCGATCATTCATTTTATCGAATACAATATAGTATTAATATATTTTGTTAACTAATATCAAGATGTGTAGAATGATATCAGATTATATGAGTAATAACACACAGACACATGGCGCACAGTCATTTTTGTTAATTATTGTTTATTTTAGATCAAGTAAATCACAAAACAAAAACATAGAATTTATTTTAAAGTATAAATATTGATTTTATAACAATGTGTGTATGTGTGTGTGTGGTTCTGTAACTGTAGTCACATTTTAATGAGTACATAAATAAAATGTTGTTTATGATTGTGATCGTAATGATAAATTATCATACTGTTCATACTTGTACCCGGTGATGTTACACTAAAATCTAAATTATCAATTACTTCAAAAAGAGAGGACTTTTGAGAGGAAACACGTGCAACGTCACAGAATTGATTTTAAAGATGTCAAATATATTTTTTTCACCAACGCAATTATTCCTTCATAATTTGAATATATCTGTTTTAGTTTTTTTTTGAGCATATTGGTCATTATTAGATCTTTTTATTTTGGAATAATATTAAAGAATATCAATAACTTTTATGTTGTGTGGGTACATACAATTTATAAAATCATAAAATTGATTTAAGATCCAATATATTATGTCATCGTCATTTGTAGTGTTTGTTATAGTCATCTATAATGTTTGTTATTGTTCCGATAATTATTATGCCAGAAAAAAAAATAATAATAATTGTTGTGTTGTGGTTTATTCAGTGAAATACAGAAATTACTATGAGAGGGTTATAATGTTTCTTTTTCTTTAAGTATATATTCATAAAATATAGGTCAGCCATCAGCTTATATTGATATGTGTACTGTGTTACCTGTTAAATATTAATTATTTTTTTTGTTTTACATTTACATTTTTAATGAAAATATCAGGATGTCATAATTTACAGTCCTGTGTTAAATAATTCAATAGACGGTGTCTAATAATCTAATACATGGCGTGATCGGAAATTTGTGTTTTTCAAATAGCCACGATTCTCTTCACTCAAAAAACTTATAATGTCATAATAATATACCTACATAATTATCTATTAAAAATTTAATTTTTTTATCGAGTATTACAATTATTGAACTGTATACAGTTCTGTAACAGTCATAAAATAAGACGATTTTTTACATTTTTGAATTGATTAATTTGGGCAGGTAGTTATAATATTTCAAATAGAACTCAATTGGGAACACTAATTTAAAAAGTTCCCCCACACTATGCAGTGGTTATTTTCAACATAATTGTATAACACAATTTTGTATTTCACGTACTTATATCGTTATTAGCTACTATTCGAAGTTCGCCTAAATTATATTATAGAAGTTCATAATTTATTATTATGGTAATAACTAATAACAATTTAATTAAAGTCAAATTTTTATTAGTTTTTACATAACCAAACCTAATCTGGAAATCCTTGTCGTAGGCTTAAAAGAAAATGGTGTCGCGATCAATAGGCTTCTTAATTACGCAAGCCTAATAATATATTTGTTTTCTCTTCCTCACTAAACTTATTGTATTGATGTTGTGTATAGATTATATATTATGTGTATCACTTTTGCATTTATAATGAAAAAAAAACAATTTTTTTATTGATTACGCTTAAATTTAAATTACCATACCTATATATGTACAATCCAAATTTGTTTTTAGTTTTAAATAAGTCATAATAATAATCTTTAAATTTAAAAAATAAAAAATAAAATGTCAATAATTCAATATTAAAAATAACAAGGTATATGTTCAGTTTGTATTTTGGTCTTTTAGTTTGTGGACGTCATAACTTATAGTCTATAGGTACTTTTGTAGTTTTGTGATCTGAATGTAAGCATATACTATAAGGTTACATGAGAGATAACGTGACGCATTGCCATGTTCGTTTAAGCATGGAAAACCTGGTTCAACCATATATCGTCATAACGTGCGTGATAGATACGAAACTTATAAACTGACCAGCTATACTGTCATAATACATACCCGTGAATCAATACTACCGTCGATGAGTCGTGTATACTGTAAACTATATTACACTATTACTGTATAAAAACGAATACGATTTAATACGAGAAAAACGAGTCATTCGGGTACTCGACGTTTTGATTGAAATAATAATAATAAAAAACTCGACCTTGTTGCGATCGGATATATGAAAAAATGGGTGTTAGGAGAACATTTCATAATAATAATATTATCAAGCACTGGTAAATCAACCAACATTATCGCATTGATAAAAACAATAATTAAAGCAACAATATCATCATAATCCGAAGAAAAAAACGTTCATATAATTTTAATGGCAAAAACATGGGTAAAATTGCAATTGATAGTACATTTTTGTCCAGATATCGCTGACATAAATAATAATATTGGAAGGTCTTTACATATTTATGTGTCAATCATATTTAAGTATTTTTATATGAGGGTTAGTGGTTAAATTTACGACCAATAGATATTGGTAATTAATTAATGACAGATGTTTGCCACAACATCCGCAACATATTTGCTTTGCTCGATCGTTTATAACGGATAAATATCGGTTTTTATAATGTGGGCCAGAGTATCAATATATGCGACAATCATCGAGACTTATATAGACATCTTTTTAGAAAATAGTCAGTGCCGAATCATCGAGATTTTACGATGATTTATTTAACAATATCTATATTGCTATGTCCAATGAGCATACAGAGTGCTTTAAAAAAGTACGAAATTGAACTAACGCTTACTAAAATGTGTTTAAAATTACGTTAAAAATTAAAACATTGGTTTTCGTATAATTTTCAAATATTTATGATCATATAATATAATTTTGGTTCATAAACACTATACTGTAAATATTTAAATGCAATCTACATATTATATACTAAACGCTATACCTATTACATTGAACTATATACGTGAATAATTCCTTAAGGTTTTTGAAGGTAAAAAACTGGAATAACCGTATATATTATCGCACAATAAGTTTATATGATCTGAAAAATTAGCTGCTTTCGAAAATGGTTAGTTATACCTTAATTATTATTGGTAATTGCCAATTGGAACATATTTTATGTAACGATATTAATTCTATATACCTGTTTAATCGAAATAACTTTTCGATTTCGAACAAAAATTCATAATATTATGTCAAATCGTTAATTTTATTCTACTTACCTGCGTATTATTTATCCAATCAAAACATCAGAAATATATAAGAAATAAGGTTTCATAACACTATTATTCTTTGAAAATATTTAAATAAGTTTGTCAAATATCTGTTAAAATGTTTACAAAAAAAATAATCTATGAAATGAATTATTAATAGAAAACATTGAATTGAAAATAAAATTGTAATAATTCGGCAATATATTTAAGTCGTTTTAAAATGATTCAAGTGTATTATTATATTTATAATATTAATTATAACTAATAACAATCTGGCATCGTTATCGGATGACTGACGATTTACCTTTTCGTGAGTATAAAACCGCATTACCACATCAATTAACAATTTAATAATAATAATTCATTATTTTTACTGCTGTCTGTTATTGTTTTACAGTTATAATAACAATGATATCATATTATTGTTGTTATTATTATTACGAGTGATGATACTGTATATTATTAATTGTAATACTTCACGTTTCTTGCGGAAAGCCGTTCTAGTCCGACAGATGGCGTATCAATCGACAAACAACTAGCCATGAGCCAGTACTGCCGCGCCGAGCTACTCACTGTAACACACTGTCTAGCACCGGCTGCTCTCTCCTGTCATTCGTCTGCCCGGTACCGTCTCGTCCGCGTCGCGCGATCAGCTCTCTCCGTGTGCTATGCGCGTGTGTTCGTAATAAATATAAAAAAAAACCGTGTGTGTCCGCGACCCGCGTGTTTTATACTGTTTCCCGCCAGTGATTTTATTTTATTATTATATTATTATAATTTTTTTTCGTACTTTTTTTTATTATATTACCTACACCGTCTTGTGATATTTACCTCGCGTTCTCAGTTTTAACTTATGACGACGCTCAAGCGTAAACAATTTGAATACCACGTGACGTGCGTACTTGTTATATGGTAATGATATTAAGTAATTATAATATTAAATATTATTGTTTACGAACTAAATCAATTGATCTCGTCAGGTGTTAATTTTTTAATTTTTTTTCTCAACTGCCGGGTTGTGTATTGTTGTTTTAAATGCTCACGAACCGCCGTTCACGATTTCGACGACAGTGCGTACCGCAGCCGAATACTACAATAATTGTGTTACGACAACAGCATTTTAATAATTTGTTAATGAACTAAGAACAGCGTGCTACAACGACATGTTCATAGTCATGACCACGTGTTTCCTCATCACTTACTTGGTGCAGATCACGGCCAGCATCATGTTGACTGCCAATGCCTTGATAGATTCGGTAGGCGGTAGGACTGGGTCTTCAACCTCCGCTGCAGTGGAAAGCTATAAGAGTCCCCCAAATGGCGAGAATAATTCCATGTCTTACCCCGGGATAGCTATTTTGTGGTTGATTCTTTTTTCCGTGGGATCAATGCTCTACGCCTTACATAATAACTATTATAACGTCCGTCGTTCCGCCGAAAACCCTCGGATGGCCGAACAAAAACATCGGCAGCAACAGCAGCATACGACCACCATCGCTGCAAAACGTGAGTTTTTTTAATGTCTCTATTTCTAATCGTATTATTTAACCCACACTACTGGACGGTACATATATTTTTAGTTTGGTGGGTTAGCGGGTTGTTGGCCAGGTGTAGCCGTGTTGTGTAGGTTAAAAAGCGCGCGCACGCGTCTGGTTTTGTGTCTGGAATTCGGTGGTTTCCGGTTTGCCTCCGGGTAGGTCGACTGTAACAGCATCGTCGTTGTTCTTTATGTTACCCATTATTATTATTATTATTATTATATGTGAACCTCGCGTCCAATAAGCTGCTGGATACCGTTTTTTTCTCTCTCGCACTCCAACCCTCCCTCGGCTATGCTTAGTTTTATTGTGTATACCATCACCGGTACCTGTTACGTACGTACCTTTATATTATAGGCATACAGCGAAATAAAACTCTTTGTCATGCGTACGCCAAGGGTATCCCAAAATAGCGTCTTTCGAGTACGATCATAGCGATTGTGAGGGGGTGATCGAGAGTAAGTGAGGGGGATTGAGAGAGAGAGAGAGAGAGAGAGAGAATGAGTGAGTGAGTGAACAATAGTGAGTGAGAGTGATCTAGTAAGAGAGTGGGTGAGAATTGAGAAGAGAGAGCGTGTACAATAACAACGAGAGCCAGTAGGCAGCTGCTGCGTCGTCGACCGCCTCGAATAAGGCTTCTAAAAATAATCCCAACGCACGACGATATTGTACATGAACCTCGCGTCGGTGATTTGATCATAAACGCGTAAATATAGTATATTGCGTTACAGACTTACAGTACATCTACTACCCAATAAGTGCTGTTAGGTGTTTTATATATTTTCGAGTGCATTTCATAGAGATCTTAAAATTTCAAGAGCCGATAATTTCTCGAATTTTTTTAGAACAATGAGCTTTTGTTTGCTTAAAAATGACTTACGTAGATGTTTAATAATATAATTAGATTAAAGTTGGAGCCACTCAATTGAAAGTGACTCCATCAACGTGTAAAATATGTATATTTTATATCTAACTAGGATATTAAAATAAAAAAAAAAAAAAAATTAATATGCGTCTTAGTCGAGGTCTTAGTTTACATCACCGTAGTTATATTACACTGTTTTTTGTTAATGTCTTTTAATTTTTTAATTGCGATTGTGTTTTGACGAAAAATCGCATCGTGGTGATGCCGATAACACAAGTGCTACGGTTCGCGTTGGTCATATCTCTGTATCGAGAAACAATAATTTTGTCCAAAGAACTCGACCCTCTCACTGATCGCGCATGGTCTCTCAGCACCGCTGTTACCAACGAACCCCTCTAAAACTCTTTAGGGTGTTTTGGCGGGGCGGAGACGATGAAGGACACAAAAAAAGAGGGTTCTCGTGGTAGGGTATTGTAGAGGGGTTGATAAAATATGGCATTTTTACTGCGCAGTAACCATCCAAGGCCAACGTGTTCCATACAGTGTGTCCCTCGGATCACTTCGATTACGAGAAAACACGTTCAAGAGAATTCATTTCTCAAATACTCGATTATAAAACGCGTTTTTATATATAATTCTGTTGTTGCTTTAGCTTATTTATGCGTTTCCTTTTTTAAGATCTCTGGATCTCTCGCTTTTGTTATACCTTTACTCGGATATGCCACCCACATCGATCTCCCCTTTCCACGTAGGGATTCGACTGTATTGAAATGAACTGTATTGTTATTACTGTTGTTGTTGTTATATATATATACGTAATTTACTATATAGTATGATTTTTTGATGTCTTCGGAAATTTCGTACATACGTGCACATCTTGCCGTGTATCGTCTTCATAATATAATAACACAACTAAGTATTTTAATAATATAGCATTTTAAATACAATTTAATATTTAGTATTATTAGGTAATAGGTATATAAACATTACTGACGTGTAAAAACGATAATTGGTTAAAATATTATTGTCATTATTTTTTCTTCACTCAGTTTTGATGAAACACTGTCTCTGATTACCTACAAAAATTCAAAATATTTTTCTTACCTTTTAAGATAAACTCATATTTTTTTTAAACCTACCAACTATGTACGTGTATTACATATTATTTATTAATGTAATATAATATATATAATATAATATGTAATATTTTATATTTTATTCACCGAGTGTAAATAAAGACGAATTGTTCTTTAATATAATATGTTCATTATTTGAGTGATATTCAGAATATTTGAACTAAATATGATGTGTATTTATCGAAATCAATTGAGCTATAAGTATTTATATAGGTACTGCTATTTTTACTCAAATATATAAAATATATGATTTTATATTGCCTTGTTTTAATAGGAACTTTAAAATAACATTTTTGTCATGACAAAATTATGATACTAATAACTCATGAATTTAAGTTTGTTTTTACCACCTATCATATTATATCTATTCTTACATACCACTATTATTTTAGACATTTTCTTCCGATTGTGGAGGAGGAAGAGACTGTGTAGTAATGTAGAATAGTCAGGGAGATACTGTGTTTCTATGTTCCATGTTACTCTGCTTAAAATAATTACACTCTAGAGTAATTATCAAAATAAAAATATAAATATTATTACAATAGATAGCCCGCAAAAAATAACTGCAAGGTTATACGAAGCTAACAAATTTTTAACTACAGGCTTTAAGATTTATTATTGAAAAACTTATTTATAATAATGGTTTGTTTGACCTAAAACGCAATCGTCGCACAAACTTGAGTACCTAATTATATTATTTATAATAATTATTAATAGTTACGCGTATATGTGGGTACCTCTGCTGCTCGACGAGTTGGAAGTTTCATAGAATATAATATATTTTTAATAAACATATTATATTTTATCGAGTATTTTATACGTATAGGTAATAGTTATGCGTAGCTATAGTTCTAAAATTAAATTTTATTTGTATGTAGGTAACTTATTACATCAATTTTTAATTAAAATTCGATCGAATGCCAAATACGAATGTGTATTATATAATATCTTTTATATTGTTTAATACTTGCGTGGGTTTGTGAGAGGGTTGGTCGAGGGTGTCTATGACCTTCTCTAAGCTACCCTTAGTTGCATATGAACATTTTGCTGGTAAAACCGCAGAACAGTAGCAAATTTATAAAACTGGTGTAACAGGTGGTTTTATTTATAGACACGCTGAGGAGAGCAAACCTAGCAACAAATTACTAATATTTGGTTTCAAATGAGCAGTAACTTATATTTTTATAATTTTTGGTAACGTTTTTAATTTATGAACTATAATATATGGTCATAAACCTCAAAATCGACTTATTTATAGTTTTTAAAGTTTGAAAATACATTTAATTGTTCAAATAAAAAAATATTATTTTATGGTATACTAAAAGAATCAATTTTTGTAGAATCGAAAAAGAATAGATTTATTTTTTACTAGCTAAATAGCGTTAATTTGATTAATTTTAGATTTAGGACCATGTAGATTATTATTATAGAACAATTTTTATGCGCACGTCGATAGAGTTACAATTTGCCAAAATTAGTACGTATACTATTAGGTACTTACCATTAATTTCTATTAAAGCAGAGCTAATTTCAATCTGTACGACGTATATTCATCAATAAAAATATATAAATAGATACTGTATTGTAACATTGCGTGTCATTGTTGTATACTTTTCATGTTTTTTTCTCGTTTTATTTTTAGATACTAAATCTCATCAACGAAATTGTATGATTTTCTTTGACCGACACAATACCTTTATAGGCACACTGTATGTGGGTGTGGGTAGTATATTATAGCCGAAAGGTATAGGCATTGCGAATATATTGTTGACACATGCCAAGGACATCGTCGCGTGTATTATGATGTCGAGGTATAGAATGTAGTAACAATTAATAATTATTCCATGTGTATAGTATACATATCGTCGTCTATCTCATTGGAGTACGACAAATTCAATTAACGATAATATTGACATCGATACGCGTGTATAGGCACCCTAATCTCTACCTGTAGCCGCTATTATGATATTATATTTAGGAGTTTTGTTTTGTCAGTTTTCGAGGCGTGTGCATTACCACCGCGACCGACCAGCGTTGCAAAGAACAATGTACAAAGGTACAGTATAGTAATTGTAGGTGGTTATGGCGTCCAACGTAGAGGAGGAGAATGCGTACCTATGATTGACGTTGGGTTTTTATTCATTTTATGCAGCACATAATATACATGCGCGCGCGCGTGTGTATATAAGCGTGTATTGTATGTAGCATGTGTGCGTGTGCGTCCATCGAGTATTTTCTGTGGGTTTTGTCAAAGTCGTATTAGGTATATCACCTTGACTGTGTCGAGATCATGTCCGTGCATGTTCAATCGTCGATCCCAAGTCAGTGTACCGTAAAAAATAAGATATCCCCTCTCATCCCCCAAAGAAAATTAAGTATTAATAATAACGAGGAACACATCTATAAATCCTTGGAGAGGCAAAAACGCTTCGCGCTCCGCCGAAGACGAATATTTCTTCGCCGTGTCGATAACACATCAGCGGAAAGCGGAACGACCGCCAATGATAAAAGATGACCGCAGCGGTGGTACTTAGTACGGGGTACTTGAACTTGAAATTGAACAAAAAAAGTTGTGAGTCGTACACGATAATAAGTTATAATAAGTTACGTGTGTGTGTGTGTGTGTGTGTGGTATATTAAGTGTTACTCGATCACGCGAACAAAATGTTATTAACTTTACAGCGATAAGATGTAAAACGTGTTTCTACAATACAAGTTCAATTAGTAATATACGTGGACTATTTAGTAAAATATTACTAATATTTGTTCTGCGGGAATAACTTGTGGTTGGACTTTATGACTTGAGAAATATTTCCTTTCCCTAAAATTAAAGTTCAGATTCTATAATTGATTTAGTAAAAACAAAAATACTATAATACAAAAAGACTATATCTATTGCATGTGAACTTGGAAGTCCCAAAAATATTTATGCTTGTGACGGTGTTTAAATGTAGGTAATATCTGAAAACATTATTGAAATAATGCTCTACCCGATGAACGTTGTCTTCTATAAGATATTGGAAAGAAAAAAGAAAAATTCAATTTTGAATACGTATCTCTGTATGATTACTATGTTTACATGTGTATTGTGTTATAGGCAGGTATTTATATAGTGTATATACGGCATTAGTTCTTTATAACAATAAAATAAAAAAATAAGTTGTACCTATAGTATGCACATTGTTGTGTGTTACAGCTGTTGTTTGACCGTCGTTATCTAAACGTGCTTAACAGTTCGAGAGCCTCGAGATTATAACATAATGACGCATTTATATGACATTATTTCCACGTGCGTATATACACGAGAAAACCATAAAATAATAAGAAAAAACCGAATCTCCTTTTACTAACTGAAAAAAATCAATTGTGTTGTCTGTGAATCGTTAATGCGTGTGTGTGTAGTTATATGCGCCATTAAGTATAAAATGCCTAATAATACGTGTGACTTTGTATCCAAAGAATAATTGAATAAAAACGCGTTTTTCGTAACCGTATGCATTTCTTTCGAAACTGTAGAGAACACAGTTATTTATTATAATTGCTGTGAACTGCCGTCTCATCAAAACCGATCGGCTTTGTTTCATGAAACGAGGATAACCATCGTTGGTTTTTATACTGCAGTGGTTCGATACCTCGCTCTCCAACAGCTTTTTTTTTTGTTACCTCTCGTTATCCGGCGGAAAGCGCAATCGTACAAAACGTTGATGTCGCCGTAGTTTTTAGCTCCACTATATAAGATTGTCTCGGACACTTTCAGTATCTTATTATTTATCGTGTTCTACGATTTACGAATACACTTTTCCGAAAATCTGTTTTAACTCCTAAGCATCTTCTTTTGGCTATTGAAAATAATGATAATAATATTGTTATAATATTGTCGTGAACGCGTTGAGCATAATGGTCGTCGTCGTGTGTTGTATTAATTGTAATAATTAAAAAAAATGTATTAGCTATGCATTGTACCCATATAATTTATTATTTTCGTCGAGTGGTTATAGGTACCAATAAGTTTAATCTTTAATCTAAAATAGCGTTAGGCTTGATCAATACATAATAAAGTTTAAAAATTATATGCATATACGTAAAAGTTTTAGATTTAAACATATCGGAACTGTACACGAAAGCAGCTACTACTTCTATATTAATAGGCAGATATGCTAAATATTTGTGTGTACCACGTCAAAATTATAATAATGTCCAAAACTGTATATTGGTATTTAGAAACGTATATTATGTAGTAAATCATGGTATTATATCGTATATATCGATTATAACTGTGGAATTATTGATATTTTAGGGAAGTACAGGTTGTGAGACATGAGGTTAGATATTACGCATGAAGCCTTTAGTGTAAATTTGATGGGTAGTGTGTAAAAGTGATGGTAAAAATTAGCAATATAAGCCGCACCTATTGCAGCTTTTCACCCTCAACTAATCATCGATTTAACACGCTATATTAAATTTGTATAAATCAATATTCAATAATACTATATAGGTACTTAATTAATTATTTTATGGAGAGTTTTTATGACGTATTTTCTATCATTTATTTTTTTGATTTTATACACATTACATGCAGTGTCTAGATGTTGCTATAAGCTCACTATGGCCTACTGTTGCAACAGTGTCCGTTTATATTATTAGAAAACCAGAAAAAATATAAATGCGCACGCGCGCGTGTGTGTGTATGTGTGTGTGTGTGTGTTGAATTATACGCAAAAATTAAGAGTTCAATTCCTTGTCCAGAGAAAAAAAAGCAAACACAATCGTAATGAACAAATTGATGGTGTGTTGTTCATAACTATTGTATATTATTTAGTAGATGATGTAAAAAAAAAAGTGAACTAGTGGAAATTTGAAAAATTGTTTAATAAATACAGTATTTTTCCTAATAAAAAAAATACACTGATGTTGTTTAAATACATTTGGTCTGTTGTTTTCTAAAAAATTATTTTTTGTTTTTCAGGATCAAAAACTAAACAGCAAGTCTGCGTTAAAGACGAAAATCAGGATACAGACGACTCGGTAAATTCTAATACATCTAGCAAGATTTCCAACAAGTCTGCACAGGCTAACAAATCAAAACCACCTTCGGCGCCTTCTTCACCCGAAAAGAGTCGTAAATCTATGGCGGCAGCGACTTCAGTCATTCCTGTAGAACTGTCATCTTATGATACCTTTTCAAGTGACAATGTACACAATAACCACAACGACGACGACGAAGACTGTAGTTACATTGACGATGACGACGATAATAGTAATCAATTCCAGCATCAGTATCATAACCGGCATAAGAGGAATCGCCGACCGTCGTCATCGTCATCGTCATCATCATTATCTTCGTCGTCATCATCCCCGTCCTGTAAGAACGTCACTAAGCAGGATCGACAATCGAACGGTAAAAAGTCATCGTCGTCGTCGTCGGTGACGTCCAAAGTTGGTATCCAAGTAGAGATGTCGTCCGGAACAAAAGTGTTACCGTCACAAAAAAACACGGTGACACAAAATAAATTACAACTGGTTGAAGCGGCAGTGGCGCCGACGACGACGTCATTGACGCGCTTTGAAAATCCGACTACCGCGATCAACATTGAAAAAAAAATCATCATAAAAGGTTAGTATACTGTCGTACTTATCGTTGTAATAACTGATCTATGTAATCGTATATATCGCCACTAGCACTTAGTGGCGATTCGGTCTGGTTATCTATGCACGCCAATGTCGACTAGACCACGACGGCATGTTTTTTGCATTAGTTTAATTCGTATTTCGGATGTTTTTTTTTTTTTTTACCGTTTTTCCTGTTCGTTGTGTATTATTATTTTATATGAACCTATCTAAGTCTGTACAATAATGTTGTATGCCATTGTCCCGTTACAGTCGTATTACTCGTATTCCACCACTCCGTTCTTTTAATTTATAATGCATGTAATAGTACGTAATTGCCATATGCAGCTATGTTCGGTTACAAGTTACAACCTTGCGTAGAAAAAACTATTTTTCACGTGATTGTTGTTTTTACGTCAACTCAGTGGTGTATATAAATCTTTAGAAATACGCTCTTGTGATGCTATTTTGCATATTAGAGAGCATAGAGCCAGAAATCAGAATAGTTGAACTAACAAAATTATTATTTTGGGTTATTCTACAGTGAATATAGTATGATACTGAAATTAGTTATTTTAACGCGAGTGTCAATACAAATGGTTTGCTACTATATATATATATATTTATTTATTGGATGATTTTATTTTAAAAGGTTAGGCCGATTGATGTTAAAATATTGAACATAGAACAATACACAAATAAAACAAAATTTAATTTTTTTGTAGTTTGTCTGCTTGAGTGGTTCTACGGTTTTTATATTATATAGGTCCGGTCTAGACTCGCCTTGTAATAATTTCCTGATGATATCCTATACAGTATACACGACACACGTATCAATTATTTACAAACTGTACTACTGTACGGTGTACCTAGGCACTTCCGGTGTAATCCTAGTTGTGATTTTATAATAGGTTATAATGTTTTATTATACATATAAATAACAAATGAAACGTCGACAGTGTTGTTGTCACATTCGAAAGGGTGTGTTAGTTTTTATATTGAATCCGACACGAATCTTGTGTTTTTAATCGACGATAATATTATATTTTATTCCTAGTACTGACCGAAAAAGATTCATAAACATTTGTAATTTTTGTTTAGTTTCATATTACTCGCGTATTTTATTTTGTGATATTTTTAATCAGGTTTTCTTTCTCTTAATTATGACCACATTTTTCTCGCACCCGTGGTTGGATCATTACAATCACCATGAATTATCGCTCTCACGTCGTGTTAATTTATTCGGCTGTCGGTATTATGAAATAGTATAATATTTGTATCCTAGGATTTTAGTAAACGTTGTGCACGTCTTTTGTTGAAAAAAATGACCTTAGCCGCATGTTCACGGTTTCATTCTATGTGCATGGAGGCTTAGCTTATTAAAATGTCCACGTATATTTATAAAAAAAAATGATTACCAAGTATTGCAACTAGCGATAAAGTGGTAGGTAGTAGTACAAATACCTTTAGTGTTTTAGACAAAACAATTAATATATTAAATAAAATTCAAGGCTAACGGCCACCTACTTCGCAGCATACCTCGATAGTATCATCTAGAACAAATTATGTATATAAAACAAAAGGTTAATTTACACGGCTATTCTTTTATCGCACAACGTTTGATTTTCATCAACCCGACTTAGCATTTATAGTTGCAGTATTTGTTCTGAATTATACGTTTATATAGGGAAGGACTAAAGGCAAGGGCGCCCATAGAAAAATTCTCAAGTAGAGGACAAAATTTTAATTATGTTCATGAGATAGGGAGAGGTTTACAATTTAACATACTTTTATATTTTATATATCAAACTGGAAGATTATGAAATAATAATTATTTAACCAATTAACCATAAAAGTTATTTATTGAATTTTCATTTGATTAATAACATAAATTTATTAAAACATTAATTCATAAATAAAATTGTAAATTTCTTTTATTAACACCAAATATATTTATTACTTGTTCTATGTATTAATTTTTTCACTATGTACGCTTATCATCCATAATCCATCAAGTCTATCTTCACTCATTGTAGATCTTGTGTAAACAATTTTTCAACATTTTCCAGAGGGGGACATGTCCCTCCCTTGCCCTCCCCTCCATATGGGCGCCCTTGATTAAAGGTATACGTTTGGTTAAGACTACAGTTAGACTTATTATGTAGTGTTAAAATAATCACTCCGTGAACTGGTGATTCGACTAGCGCATAAAGGCAGTGGCATTGTCCTTGAATCAAGCTGAGAAGTGCATTTTTTTTTTTTTTTTACAAGAAATTGTAAGCTTAAGATGACTGCATTGGTGGTTGCGAGTGATAACTGTTGTCTATGTACGGGATTTTAGAAAAAAACAAATTAATCGACAATATTTCACGTACACTCGCCACACTAAAAAAAATTGTTGATTTGGCTGTATATTTTCCCTGTACAAGCAGTAGGTCTCGGCCGAATATTACGTATGATACGGAGGGGAAAAAATAGTAAACACGACTCGTCATCTGGCTCTCCTACGTTGGCAGTTTCTCCTAGCCCGCCGCTATATATATATTTTGTTCTCATCATATTGTTCAGTGGTATAATATAGCTTAACGTTGACGGTAAACCTCTATGACATAGTTGTCGTTGTTTCGGATTGACGCGCCAACACTTCAAGTGACTCGAAGTGGACGTTTTAATTATATGATTCACGCATATTATTTATTTTCGGTGTACGCAAGAAACGAGAAATAAACCCATCAATATTTGATCAAACCGTCAAAATAATGATAAATGCAGGTATATTCAATATGATTTTCATTCATATTAATATTGTATTTTTTGTGTTTCGTATTTTTTTTAATAGCAAATAACACTCATTTTTTTTTAAATTACTCGTATAAATAAAATACACAAGAAATACTTTCTTTCAATTCGAAAAAAAACTCGAGGAATTTTTCTAAAAAGTTGTTTTTGTGAGACATTTTTATAGGTATTATTTATCTGCCTCGCAAATAAATTAAATACTTTTATTGATTATTTGTTAATGTAATGATAAACAATACATTCTTAAATCTTAGATGAAGATTTCGTGCATACAAACCATTACTCACGCGTAGGTGATTCATATAGTAATCTAGCAGAAGCACATATTATATTATATTACTATTTCTCATACTATTTATTTAATTATGGGTTGTTTTATATTATAAATAAGTAGCCGAAGTTAATGCAACAAAGAATCTGTGACGTAAATCTTGCTGTTGCGGTTCTGACTTGATAGATACTCACCGTATACAACGTGTAACAGAAAGATCTATTATTTTAAATTGATATCTTATGTGAATGTGTCATATATTGGTAATGTACATTGTACATCCTGTATACAGAACACACCACACCGTCCGTTCGTATACTAAAATTAAACAACTGAAGAAAGTTGTTCGGTCGTTTATGTGTGCAGTGCAGCTGCACAGTCGTTTATATTATAATAGAGATCAGTGAAAGTAGACGAGCAAACAGATTTTTTCTTCTCCTGTCTTCCATAAAAATATAACATATTAATATTTTAATATAATGTTATTAATAACAATATTAAAACATCTGATGTTGTAAATACCGTTAACGTACGTATCATTTGGTCTTATTAATACTGGATTGATTTATTTATACACCTGCAGCTGCGCTCTGTTTATAATTTATAATAATATATATATTGGGTATCCATCTCTTCTTATACTTATTGCAACGTCTGAAGCACGTGTGATTTTTCAAGATTTCTACCTCGTCCTAAAGAGAAATCTTTTGAATAGACACATGTTGATCCATTGGTGATGTTCACCACTTACGGGACAATTGTAAGCTCTTTAGATCATAACAATAATATTATATATTATGTACAACACACATATACAGCATGTACAGATAGATACGATTCATGACGCATGTTGTACTTGCTATTGCCACATCGGAATAAAAGTCTCCGAACCGATAAACGAGTGATAATCGGAGATTATGCCGAGAAAATATGACGCACGAACTTCTGCAGTAGAGTACCTACCGTTTGTGTATGTTTCTATATTTACTCACTGATTTGTTGTGTAGTTATGCGTTTTATATTTTAACGGGGTCGTGGTGGTGATAGTATAAAAAGTGATCTATATAAAATCGTGTGGTAGGACTTCTCTCGATCATAGAACACAAGTAAATAATTATAATGTGCACATGTCATTCATTTTGTTATTTTTAATACGTAAATCAACTCCCGCATCGATTTTTTTCATCTGCACATCTGTCTGTCAAGGCTTTCTCGGCTGGTGTTAATGTATAATTATTAATTGAAATTGAACCAACTGCTGTTACAGATGGATCACATTGAAACGTGTATTTTCTATTCTGTAGAACATGAAACGTCGTTGAGAAACGTATCAGATTACTAAACGGGTGTTTTTTTTTTACAGATAATATTTTTTAACTTTTCGATAAATCACGTACCTCCCGCATGCATTGTGACATGCCCAGCCTATTTTAAGTGCCCACTTGTTATAATATTTTACTTATAAATATATATTTACTTTTTTGTGGTGGTTTCGATTACAAACAGAACAAACAAAGGGCTTACATGATGCTTGCTAACCAACTGCTGTTAATATAATGTGTTCTCACTTTTGAAAAATATAATTATTTTCAAAATAGGGATTTTTTTTTATTGTTAACATATGTCCATCAATCTACAACTATGTATTACCTACTCATCAAGTCAGCTATAAGTCTCAGCTTGTGTAATAAACAGGCTAAAAAATATTTATTATTACTCATAATAATTAGACATATGATTTGGTCAAGTTAAATTTGTGTAAAGTTACTTACCCATTATTATCCAGATTCATTATTGATTTAACTTATGATGTATATGTGTATTTTTTTATTTGTCTGTCACTAACTTATGAAATAGTATAAATATTTAAATTTTAAATTTTGGGGGTTTCAGGCAAAAAATTTGATCTATTCTGAAAAAAAAAAACTTCACAATATTTTTCAAAATAACCAGAAAAAACTTGAATTTTTATACTCAAAAAATAAAATATTTTAAAAAATCAATTTTTTATTGTTATCAAAAAAAAAAAATAAAAAAAAAATACCTAACCTAGGTACTTGAAAATTGAAAATTTCACTTAATGTTTATATTATCATTTTCAATATAAATTGAATTGTATCAATTCAATGTAAAAAAAATGTCACTCGGTCAAAATATTTGAAATTTTAATAGATTTCTTATAAGTTGTTAAAAAAGAGTAAAAACCCATTGGCGCACATTTTTTTTAAGTATTTGAATTTAAATTTGGATGAAATTACATGTTTAAACAATGTTAGCATGATTTAAAAATATAATTCATGGGCTGGGGTCTTAATATATTTATGTTATATTATAAATTTTATTATATGTAATGGAATTTTTATAATAGGTCGATTAATTTTTAGACATAACCTATTTATACCATGACCCTATGTACCCTTGTACTTTTTTTTAGGTAAGGTGATTTTGGCTAAAAAGTTAATAACAATAATACAATATGATATAAATAATTTTATTAAATTTATAATAATTAAATATTAATAATATAATAAATGCAATGCTTTTTGGAAAAAATTAAGTCAACCTACTGAACGTAATACTAATAATAAAAAAATTGCTTTAATAGCAATATCAAAAAAAAAAAAATTATATACCATAAAAATTAATATACTTAATGGTATAGGGCCTATACCATAGACTCACTATCTCCGCTCAAAATCGTTTTGCGTGTAACTATGATATCAAACTGATATAAAATTTGGAACATTTGTTACAGTGATTAATTCTATCCCCAATGTACAACAAAGAAGTGTACCCACTTGCCAGCCATTTTAAGATTAAAATAGGTAATACTATTTCCTAAATAATAGCAAGGATTAATAAATTTATATATATATATATATATATATATATATATATATATATATATGTTATGACTGTTATTAGTATTTAGCGTCATATAGTGAGTAGAGCTATTATTTTTGTGGAATTAATTTTGAAAATCTCAACTATAATAAGTGATTTAATGTTAACCCGGTGTGGTCTATACAAATATTACTGCAAACCTCATATAAGATTTTCTTAGTAATTTGTAAGATAGTTAGCGTCATAATAATATTAGTTCACTAATTTTTGATTTATATTATTACTGACGAATGGTTTGCTATTGTATTTTTCAGAAGTCAAAAAATCAACGACGGAACAGTTGGATAGGACTACGGAGCAAAAAAAACCACGGAACAAGGAAAATGTTAATCCGCAAAAAGAGGAAGACCGAAATAACAACAGCATCATCAGCAACATTAACAAACAAAATGGCGATAATTTTGGAAACGCGCCCAAGAAACCAGGAAAAAGGTTGCGGAAACGACTCAATAAGATGAAACAACAATTATTGGTTGAGACAACGACGCCAATGAAGACTAGGAAGACCACAGACGAAAACAAATCGACAATTATTGTAAGTGAAGTGTCTGCTGGACAGGACAAGCCTATGATCACGACTTCGGTTATGCCACTCACGGTGCCGTTATCATCGGTTGAGACTCCACCACAACTGTTGTCCGCTATCTCCAGGACAATGGACGTGTTCGAGGACAGCAAACGAAATACTGTAAATTTAAATGATAAGTTAATATGGAAATATGTGTACCAAAAATACGTACTGAACTTAAAGGAGTTGTACGATAATGGATTTCCATTAAATAGCTCGACGGATATAGGATGTGCGTATTACTTTCGACAGAACATGAAGCGAAATGTACTTAATCCCGTAGCAAAAGAGTTTTCATTGGATGCCCAAAAATGTTCAAAAACGGCCCTACCAACCTCTAAGAATATCATCAATTGTAAGGCGGCTGATAACAGATCACCGAATCAAAAAAAGAAGACGCAGAAACAAGAGAAACGACAACAGTTATCATCAAATGAATACGTTCCGTGTGCTCGCTGCTCTTCATTTTTCAATGTTAAAGAGGAGGCCCGGTCTGCAAAGCCCGGCCGTTGCGTCTACCACTACGGCAAGTTGAAGTTTTGCGATCCTCTTACTTCGTCGGTTGCGTACGAATGCTGTAAGGACAGCCGAGTGTCCCAGGGTTGCACCCAAGCCAACCGGCACGTGTGGAATGGTTTTAAGGACGGCTTGAACTCCGATGTCATGGATTTTGTGACGTCCGAGAACTCGGATTTACCCATGAAGCTGGATTATGAAGCGGGTATTGAACCGAATAGTTACCGCATGTACGCCTTAGATTGTGAGATGTGCTATACCGAGAATGGTCTGGAGGTGACCAAGGTGACGATGGTGGACATCCGTGGTGCAGTCGTGTACGACACACTGGTCCGACCCGACCGACCGATAATCGATTACAACACCCGGTACAGCGGTATCACCGCAGCCGACTTCGCACGCTACCCATCAAAAACGCTGGACCAGGTCCGCCGTGATCTACTGCGGTACATTGGAAAAACCACGGTACTCGTTGGCCATGGACTGGATACTGATTTGCAGGTACTTCGCTTAGTCCACATGATTGTGGTGGACACGTCTCTGCTGTTCTTGAATCCGAACCCGAACCCGAATTCGAAAGCCAACACTCACAAAATGTCACTCAAATCGCTGGCTTCCCGATTACTCAAGCGCGATATCCAACTTGCTTACGGCCATGACAGCAAAGAGGACGCCCGGGCCGCCATGGACTTGGTCCTGTACAGGATCTGCCGTGACTTGCAAGACAGTAATAACTAGCAGCCGGTCGCCCTGCGCCCGACTGAGCGCAGACCCCATCACACTCTGGTCTCACTGCAGCACCCCGCACCTCATTTTGTCGTTGTTCCTATTTATATTCATACATATTATTAATGTGTCGTTATCATAATCACGCATGCGTACATACGTAATAACAATTATACATTTTTATATCGTTGAGTATTACGTTTATTGTATATAATATGTTTATAATATTGATGTAGGTATATGCGTACGTATGTTCGCGCGTGTATGATATTATTATAATAACATGTTGTACACATTTTTTCCTATTTTAAAAAAAAAAAAAAAATAAAACTTTTTATACGACTCATTTTCACTCACGTCTTGACACTGTGATATATTGATCGACGAGCGATCCGTTCTAAACGGTGATCCCGCTTGATCTAATGACTGAATGATACGTCAACATCCCCCCCTCTCCCCCAGCTAAAACTCTCCTTCCCCATGCCTTTTGTACTTATAAAATAATAATAAAATATATTGTACAAACATTTCTCATTTATATATATTCACATATATATATAATATGTATATAAATATTATTTGATTTTAAAGCTTTTTATTTTTTCATATTTTCTTTCCTATATCATCGGGTTCTCCTCATCCTGCCCCCTGTTGCATAACTTCTAATTAATGTAAAGTGATTAGTATGGTTTTTTTAAATATTTGTAGTTCTATGTGAGGCAAATCGCCAATTGAACGTTTACTACCGTTTAAATGTCAACGAGCCAAAGCGCAATGAGATCGAATACACATTTTCTACACGATGACGTGTAAATAGTAAGTATGAAAGTGATTTTGTACTCTTCTCTTATCATTGTCCAATCCGCAAAAGATTATTATCGAAGAAAAATAATAATAATACAATATTCTCGTTATCTACCACCGGTCGATTTTATTGGTGCATTCGTTGTCGATGTTGTTGCTGTCGTTGACGCTGCCTTTTTTGACGACGATAACTGCTTTCACTCGGCAGGTCTATCAAAAAAAAAAAAAATTAAATAATAATAATGTTGGAATGAAAGTTGTGCACCTTTTAAAAATAATAATATAACGACAACGCATATAGGTATATACGTACCTACTTATGTGCTTACACTATCCGACGGATAATATTATTAACCATTTAGACTCTCGGAAATGTGTGTCGTGACCGGTGGTATAGTGCAAATCGGACTAGTCAATAAAAAATAAACAATAATAATTTACAAGTAGTAAGAAAAGTACTAGGTATGTAAGTAATAAATAAAATAATCGTACGCATACGCCCGAAAATCGCGTCTGGCATGGATCCCATTCGCCGTTTGGCACGTCTGCTATAGAAATTCGCCGTATCTACACACGCTGACGCGCGAACGACGAACTGTGACCAGCCCGTTCATATATTATGTACATTGTGCGAAACGGATAATGGTTATAAATTCGTGAGTGACTACTGTCTTAGGCCCGGGACCGTATTTATTATTTTTTTTTTAATACTCGCCTTTACGTTGGTTAGGTTAGATTACATGACCTATAATCATATATTTTTCTTTTACCAACCGCACGTGTTTTCAAATAATGTTGTGTACAGTATTGAACATACGTATTTATTAAAAACACTCGTATTTATTTTGATAGATATTTTTTTTTTTAAGGCAAAAACCCGTTATTTTGGTATCCAATATCTCGGTTATACCTATATGTCATGTCGAAAAAATAAATGTTCGCTAGTTTGAATGTGCGGTGTAACTATTTAAATCCCTGAATGTGATTTTAATGCATTGCTGTAGAGATCGATTTATATATATATATATATACATGTAACCATCTTTTAGTTCAATATTTGAACTAAAAATTCAAAATAGTAAAAAATATTTTGAAACTCATTTAAAGTAAAAAATATTTTCTTAATCCATGTCTACACAAAACAAACTAAAATTAACCAGTTGTTGGATTTGGTAAGTTTTTTTATTTATTATTATTATTATTTTTTGTAAATAATACGAAAATTCTTTTTGGTGGTTTTTATCAAAATCCTAATTGCAAATATTAAGTAAAATTATAGATCATCAGCCATTATAATAACGACATTGTTTTGTAAGTAGATCGTGTTCGTGATTTTCATTCATATTTCAGTTCCACGTTTAAATCTTAGTAATTAGCCAGCACTGCTAATACATCACAAACCTTGGCCGCGGACCTCCTCCCATATCTGTACACAAATACATAGAATAATCTACACACAAGCATACAGTAAATATCTTTTGTGAAAAAACCTCATCGTCGTTAGTCCAACGTCTTTGTAAAAAAAAAAAAAAAGACCAACAATTAATGAGTAGGTACATCATGTAAAATATACCGCAAGGTTGTTTAATTTACGATAAAACACATTGTATTTTTTTTAAGTACATAATATCATATTTAATACTGGAATTTATAATATTTCAATCGACCAAATAATAACAACAATGCCTGTATTAACGAAGCATATTGTTTATATTGGGTAAATTATAATAATTACTCATTACTTTGAATTATTGGTTGGTGAGTGTGTCTTTACATAAAAACACTGTACAATACATACGCTAGTTGTAAAAGCACAATGTTCTAGACCAGCGTTATTCAATCTTTAAATACGAGTATCATACCTACAAATTTTGAAAATGTTTACGTGCTACTCGATAACGTCATATCTCATAATAACCTTAATATTTTATTTTTTATTCACCAAAAAATGTAAAAGTTATTTTATGTAGATAATATTATAATCACTATTTCTAGTTCAGGAGCATTAATTAGGAACTAAATAATTACTAAAACATAAGTATTTATTACACAAAAATATAAAATCGAATAAATAATTAATTAAATATTTAGTTTTTTTATTATTTTTATAATAATTATTATGATTTAAAATTAAATACGTTAATGTTAGGTTTTTATTATTTTATTTTTTTATTAACCTTCAGTCTCAAATCATTCAATTGATTATCCTATGCATAGTAATTTATTAATTTAATATTATTAATTAAAATTTTTTTGTTCACAAAGTGAGATTTCTCTTATTGACCACCTATAAGAACCGATACTTTGCTTCTATAGAGTCTAGACTAATAAATTCATTATATTTTCAAAACGTCTTATCTCACTCGTGCTCACACAATCGAAGCCAAGTCGAGTGCAAATCGCTTTATCATAAAGGTCACATTATTATCATGCTCGCGATACGGAAAGAGGTACTAAAATGAGTACATTACTTAGTTATATTATTATTTATTTCAGTAGTTGTCACGTGTACATATTATATAGATTAGAATTATATTATGTCTGTGATTATCGCAGTGCTTGTTGCGAAAATTAAAACCGCTCAAAAACGCCTGGAGTCTGACTAATAAAATTAATAATTTCGTTTGATTGAACGTTAAGTAGGTAACACACGACACGGCTAAGAATGTTTATAACCCACGAACCCTAAACCAACACTTTTGGCTGATATGTCAGCGGATTAAGAACATTTTTCTTGTTGGTTCACGGTTGGTTGTGAATAGCGAACTGGTCATAGAAATAATAATTAGAGAAATTTTTGCTTTTGGCTGTAGAAAAATATGTATTAATTAATTAATATTTATGCTAAAAATATAAGTGATTTATTAGATAAAAAAAATTATTTGATATATACCAACATTTTTTTTAAAATTAATATTATATTCTGTTTTTATAAAATGTAAAATGTGAGTTATTTTGTTTAGTAATTACTAATTATAAGACAACACATATACTACAAAACTTCAAACTAAGCATATAAATAATTATATTTTTAATAACTACTAATTATATTCAGTATGAAACAGATTTGAGATAAAATAGTTTTTGTACGCTAAATTTTTTTCGTAGTTTAACACTGAACCGATCCAGCACCTAAAAAATGTTACATAGTGTTTTACTTTTCACTTGCATCGTAGGTATAGGGCTTCGATTCACGAACGCTACGTGTATAAATAAATATTTAATATAATAAAATATAGTAATATAATAATCGGGTGAATCGTACGCATACGAATAACATATATTATAATAGCTACGAAAACGAGTTATATTATGCCAAACGACACGGTTTACTTATTCGTACGCACATATCGTATAACGTTAAATGTGCAAATACCAAAAAACCACTTTTAATTTCGTTCGTTTTTTTTTAGAGTATGTACTTATACTACACTATTGCACGCTACGTCACTCATACCCGTTATTCGAAAATGACGCGATCGTCCACGTGGCTTTTGGTACACTGAGAAAAAATTTCCGCTAAACAATTCACGGTAAAATTTATCGTTTGAAAAATTGAAGTTTTTATCTCTATGCAAGACACTTCTTAAATAATACAAAAAATCTCAAGAACCTTTATTAAGTACCTACCTACTTATATTTAAAAATTCCAAAAGTCAAACTTTGATTAACTGTATTATTAAATGAAAAAATAGGGAGTCACGTAAGCTCACCGAGCTTGATTCATCGAATCACCTTTTATATACGATTTGGCTGTATATGTATATTACATATATTTATATTTATATTAAGGCGATATTAGAGAGTTCGATTGTATAGGAACTGTAAGTCGTGCAGTTGAAAAAATCTATGGGAAATAGAAACTAATTAGCTTATTTTATTGATCTTTGAAATTTAAAAACCATCAATTATAATAATTATCTATTGCTTAAAATTTTTATAAATTATATTATCGGAACTAAGAATCTATAGTGTAAATGTAGTAATTATACACAACTATGTGAACAAGAAAAAATTGAAATCTAAGATAAATTCGACCTGTGTAGTATGTACCATCGATTAGACTCAAAACAGTTACACTTACCTTAGGTACTGTACTTAAGATTTGATTAGAAATTGGATATAATAACGGCGGTAAGTACAATTATAATAATAATTTTATGTATATTGCGTGTTCCTATAATAATAACCAAAAGCCGATAATAATAGACTAAGACGTAACTATTAATGAATTTATAATTTAGGTAGTCGAGTTATAGAAGTTTCTTGAATTGTTAGTGAGCCGTCTTTTATAATAATAATTTATTGAAATAGTTTCAATGAATATTATTAAACGTTATTGGACGAGTTATTTATAGTGAACATTTAATAGAATAAAAAAAGACAATTTTTATAATGAAATAAAATTTTCAATAATTCATAAATATTCATTTTTTATTCGTTTGTCTGAAAAAAATTGTATTAATTTTAGTATTCATTAAGTTTTAACTACATATGAATGGATTTTAGGTTATTAACATCGAATTTTATCATTAATTGATATTGTTTAAGCTTTATTTTCTATTGTAACCAATTCGCACCAGATTATCAGAATTATTTAGGAATCTATATTTATAAATTTTATTGAATTCTATTGAAACCTGCATGCCTTACATGTTTTTATTTTTGGGAGAGAACAGTGTATGGTTTGCATATTGTATACATAAAACTCAGTCATTTAGATAAGTGAAACAATTTCGAGTACCTT